CATCTCTTTCACTCTGACTAATGGGGCTGTTTTGGAGTCAGCTTCATTTAGCCCTGTTGATAGTGTCCAATTTGGTGTTGCTGTTGCTGCACTGAACAGAGCTCAAAATAATTAAAAGGTTTGTAAAGAGGTTGTTAAAAATCAATGCAAGGCACTTTTATGAAGATTTATACAAAACCAAAAAAATGACTCCTGCTTTGTACATCTGATTACTGTAATAATTAATCTAAGATGTTCTGTCTTTGGAACACGTGACTGTGTGCTGGTGAGAGCCGATTGCATCCTGCTGAATTCCTGCCGTGTTTCACATATGTGTCACAGTACCTCCTTAGTACATGCTGCATGGTAGTTCTGCAGATTTATTTATGCATTACAGTTTTTCTGGATTTTTTTCTTCCCACTTTCAAAACTGGTAGAGGGAAAGGGAAAGGGGAAACAATAATATATGAATCGTAAACCTTTCCTCATTTAATGACGCAGTGCACCATTAATGTAGATTTTCAGTAGGGCCCTCTGGTGTGAATATCTAAGTTCATTAGAAATGTGAGGAAACATGAAAAGATAAGGAGTACAGAACCTAATTTCCAGTTCAACCTGAGAGGATCAGAGGGGTCTTATGATTTGTAGCTCAAATCCTAATCCCATACCTTTCAAACTGTCTTGTATGTTTGGCAAGACCAAAAAACGTCAGTGAAGTCACCCATGGAGATTTGGTGAGCTCTATTGATGGTTCTCGGGGCATGAATCTCTGGATCACAATCCTGCCGAGTTTGTGATTTGCCGGTTCCTTTTTTTTCTTGATTTTTATGTGCATCATGTTTTATCGGCCCCATCTTTATCCCTACAAAATACTGCTTATAATGACTGCATTGTTTTTAAACCAGTCAGCAGTAGTATGTCATTTAATGTAACAGTTTAGGAAAGCTAAGCGTCCATACATGTAGATAAAAATTAAGATTATCTGGTCTGAACTAATACTGTTATAATTTAACATTGTTTTAGAATTCAGAAGACTTCAGAAGGGACAATGGTTGAGTGAGGAAACAATATGGAAACATTTTTCCTAGAGGTAGCGAGTGCACGCAGTTTACTACCTGATTACCTGCTGCTGTTTTCATGTTAATCATTTCTGGTGCTGAGCCTAAGCGGCCTTCAGTAATAGGCTTTCTGAGCCTTTATTTCTGTGAAGCCCATGCTGCCTCTCTTTCTTGCATGCCCATTGCAGATAGGGCCAGTGTGCCAACAGTCACATTGATAAGAGAGTGTTGAAAGCAGAAAAGGTTGCAGCCAGCTACTTCAAAGCCAGGGGTACACGCTGAGCTAGACTCTATAAACATTATCTTTGTTCCTCCAGGTCAGATGAAAAAAAAATAGGCAGCATTGAAAGAATCTTTAGCCATCGGTCAAGCTCATGTCTGAAGACGGGGCTGGAGACAAAGGGATTCATTATCTTTCAGCTCACTTTCATGTGTCCTGATGAATGGAGATCAAGCACGTGTTTCTCATGCCTTTACCATAACCTCCTTATTTTATAAGGATATGGCATTGTATGTCACTTTTTAAGCTATGCCTATGGGAGTATAAGGTAGAAGGAATGATTTTTTCCATCTCACTTTAACTGCGATCAAGAGATCAAAATCCTAAATTCATCATACTGTTTGCATACGTTTGTTCTCCTGTAATGGTTTTCTATACGTTTTGTATTTCCTGCGACTCTTTTTGCCTACTTCAGCCTTGCTAATGATATTGCAAATATGTAATTTCTACTTTAGTTAATGTGTCATTCACATCTTTTCCATTTTGGTTCTCAAAAAGGGTTGAGTTCAGGGATACTAGAGACCCAGGTATTTCTAACAACCTCCCACCACCTCTTACAGTGTCTAAATCAGCATTTTCCATTATACACTTCAGAACTGAGCCCACGACCAATGTCAATGGCTGCGTCTTATAAGGGACAGTGGGTATCAAATGTGAGTCAGGAAACGATTGTTTTTTTCAGCAGTTTTTCCAAACAATCCAAACGCTTACTGAACATTTTTAATTGAAATGTGGATTGTCAGCTCCTTAAACTTTTAGATAGGTGTTTTATGGTTTTAACGTGGACTGCAGTCAGACATTCAGAGTGGCTTCTGTTTGTGTTATGCCTTTCAGCTACATCTCAGAAGTACGTTAAACGACAATTACAGTTCACAGCATTGCAATGATATTGCTAACAAAGAGAATCAAGACCAATCATGAGTGAATTGCAAACTAAAACCACAAATATTTGTGTTAAATCACCAAAAACAAATTAAAATTGAGCTAAACGTGAATGCAACAAATTAAAACCAGCAATTTCAGTTTTGGCAGCCAGTCTTATTTTCTAATAAAATAGATTTCAGTTGGAGTTAATCCTTTGGTCTCTGTACTGACAGATAGCCGTAGGCCGTGCCTTGTTTTGGATTAGAATGGATTTCTCTGTTTTGAATTGTTCCAGAAGGGTGAAATCTTTGTCTTTTTAGACTGGAATGGAATGGAAAAACATTCTTGTAAGAATGAAAAATGATACTTTTGCTTCCTAATTCATATAACAGCCAGATTCTAGCATGACCGTCAGGTAGTTTAAAAAGTTGTGTGGGAGTAAGGTGTTGGCTCACAGCTATCACATGCATAAATGCACCTGCCTCGTATATGCTCCATACGAATGGCTTTATTTGGTTAGTGTGCTTTTTTTCCAATGGTTTTGTATGCAAGGGGGCATTGATAGCTCTGTCAAGCTAGTCTAACTCAAAAGTTTCATTGGGGCCTCAGGAAATTTTCCACTGTTGGTTTTTCCAGTCCAGGTGATTCATTAAGGCTTTTTAATCACAGTGTAAGTCTTTCTGAATCAGATGGTGCAAATGAGCATATGTGTATGCAGCTGCTTTATTGCTCTTCTGTAAATAGCTCGTTTCTTCACCAAGAGTTAATTTCACCTTGGTGCAGTTTTGTTTGCTTGGCACTAGCTCAGGATTTTTTTATATCCATCAGCTCCACACTGCTACTGTGCACAGCAAAAATCTCATATCCTGTGGGGAGAGGCATGTGTGGGAGGGGGGCATGGAAAGATGGTCTCTTTGTAACTTACTGAGCAAACAAAGACATCCTCCTCTGTCAAGCCTCAGGTGTGAATGAAATGTTTGCAATGACTGGCCAGCATGGTGAAGGATAATTAGAATGGAAGATGATGGCTCTCTGACTTGTCTCTTTGGAGCTGAGTTGATGTGCAGAAGGTGCTCTGACGTCACATTACTTTTGCTCTTCCAGCGGAGAGATTCTAACAACGAGGGCAGCTGACTTTCATGAAGAAAGGCAGGATACATACCCTAGTAATCCAGGTTTTTAGAAAGTCCAAAGAAGGCGGAAATGTGTGTCTGAGCAGGATATGTTACGCATAAAGACCCTTGATGAATATTTAGTACTGGAAATTATCCTTTGCAAAAAGAATAATGCAGCAAGAGAAGCTTTTAGGAGCTTCGCACAATATTTCTTTCAAGTAACATGGGTATAGTATTACGGTTTATATCTCCTTCCCCCATGATGTTTGTCTGTATGTAGCATTTCCCTTTTTGTGGATAACCAGCATTAGCTTTGTTGACTTTGTGATTCCTATTGGAGACCGACAGCGTGTCCTTGTTCGAACAAAAGAGTATCCTATCCTAATTCTGTATACTCTGGACCAGTTCCACTCACCACCCTGAGATGTTAAATATAGCTGTGCAGTGTGCTTCTCTAAGTGCTCTGGATTTATGTTAGGCTATACCCCTTTGTTAATAAATATTTGAACTGGCAGGCTTGTGCAGTTGACCGGGGGGCACACAATGCACCTGATCTTGTCTAGGTCAAAACATTTCAAAAGGCTGAAATATAAAACAAAGATGAAAAATGAACTTAAAATGAATTCATAAATTCGTATGCTATTAAATCGCCATAAGACTGAAACACTTTTTTCCATTGCGTTTCATTCTAAACTAAGAGACAAATTCTGTGGCTCTTTCATGTACATTTGTACATATACTTTTCATCTTCATCACTGGATATTCAATGGATTCATGTCTGAAGGTTGGCATAATCATGAAGTATTTGATTTCCTGAGTGACATAGGATTTTTGTGCTCATTGAGTTCTTGACTACCATATCGCTGCCTCTTCCTTTAAAATAGATCAAATAGTTTTCAGCCAAGATACACTTTATAGTCTTTAACAGAGCAATTAATATTTGACTGGATGTGCAAATTTTAGTTTCTCCCTGAAGCTTTCTCGGTGTTGCTTAATATTTTTATAGTACAATCTTCCCAGCGATCTGCAGCTGTCATTCACAAAATGTACAATAGGTTTGGTATTGGTAATCACAAAGCCCTCAATAAAAAGGTTTGTCATTATAGCTGTTAGTTCATCACGCCTGACCTGTCCATCTCTTATTGTTTAACTCACAATCACCAGGGATATACTGCAAATATTTACCCTCTCCACCTTGGATCAGGGGCCTGCCCTTTACTGCACCTGTTCACCAGATGTTTCCAGTAAGTGCTTTTAAGGACAGCAATGGCTGGAGCACTTTATTACAGGAAAAGTGCCCTGCGATCTCGCTGTTTGGTTCCTTGTTTATTGTGCCTGAAATGTTAGAAATAGCAGGAGAAGGCAAAACAAGACTTCCTCTCATAAAACAGTACTACAATATTTTTTTTCTGTTTTACTTGAACTCCACATGTTCTGTTCTGCTTTATTTATGGGTAGTTTGTTGGTTTTCTCAATGCTAGTGTACGTGTTGCCTTAGTGGCTTCTCTAATAGTGGATTTGTTACAGAAATTGATTGTATGGCTTTAAAGTTTTAAATAATACTTGTTACTTTTCTGTGAGTCCTCCCTGTGCCAGTAGGCTGAAAGGCCCATGGACCGCATTTTGTGTTTACTGTAGCTAACAATCCTGCTAATTGGACTCTGTTATTGACCCTTCTGCCTCTTTCTTTTTTTCCATCCTCAGCCCCCAGAAGCTGTAGACGTCTTGGAAATTCCTGTTTCTCATCAGGAAAAGAGGAGTCAAAGCGTAAGCAGGGCTTCCCAGATCGAAAGAGACCCTGGAGTCAAATCTTCCAGCTCCCAGCAGCAGACTGCAGAGACAGGAATCTCGGCGGCCCTGGCCAGCACTTTGGAGCACATTGTTGGTCAGCTTGATGTCCTTACTCAGGTAAGCAGCAGGACTCTTTTTACAGTTCTTTGAATAGCAAATAAAAATTGTGAGGTAACATAATTTGGGCAAGTATGCTCCATTCATTGTGTCTGTGCACTAAAAGAGATGGCTATGCCCCGCTGATGAGGCATAATGAGGACAAAAGAGCTGTCCACAGCTGATAACTCTGGCAAAAGGGTTGTGGGAGTCAGGAACAAGCTATCCAGCTGTATTAAAGGAAGGTGGTGTTATTGCATCTTTCATGAAACAGCTGGCTGAGAGCCTCTTACCTATTGCCTGCTAGGAAACAGACAAGTGAGATGGAGAATACCCTTTTTTCAATTGCAAACCTTATGCTCTTAAATACAATGAATAATTTTAGTTTGAAACAAATCTATTACCTAATGAAACCAAGTGCTGCAGTTTCACAGGAACATGTACGATTCAATTTCTCATTTTTAATTCAACATCCTACAGTATATGAGCTGCATATTATATTACCTCAAGATACAGCCTTGGAATCAATACTTAATTATGATCAGACAGCACGGCAATTTGTTCTTTTTTTTTTTGTGCCTGACCTGTATATAAACGTCTAATCAGTTTTCATGGGTTTCATTGAAGACTAGTGAAGGCTGCTATGAATAATTCATTCTGTTCATTTCCAAGGAGCTGCAGGGGAACTAACCAGCACTGTGACTTTACATTCTGTTTTACTCTACTGTGCAGCATTAGATTATTGACTCGTGCTCTACATGTCTCAAGAGCACGTGCTTAGGAACAATTACTAATTACGGGTATGCTAGGCTGACTTTTTCAATGATTCAAATATTTATTTTAAATTCAAATGTTTGCTTGTTTCCCTCTCCCTCCATTCTTATTTTTACAATGATTTTTTTTAAATCAGAAGTATTAAAGTTTGTGGCTAATCCCAGCAGTGGACCTCAGGCTAAGACATCATGTCAAGCACTGCAAAACATTTGTCTTTTATTGCTAACACGAGAAGGCCCAATCAAAATAGTTTTTTACTGACACAGAATTGCCAGTTATTGTATTGTGTACCCACCCACTGTGGAACTGTCAGCGCATATTTTCACATCTTGGTTCACGGCTGTAACAGAGGAGAATGTGACTCCTCCAACCCACTCACCATACTGGCTGAGCAGCCCAGGAATCCCAGTTGTACCAGTTACCTATTTTTTATCAACAACATCAAAACAAATTGCAACCTGAAACACAGGCATCTTCATGGTATAGAATTTCTTGTGTCACTTCAACTCTTCCTGCTTCTCGGTTCATATATATATAAAGATCATTACTCCTGAGAAAGCTGATTTGGATGTACCTTCAGAACGTTTTGATCAATACATGCTAAAGTGCATTAATGAAAGCACATCATAACAGGCGCATGTCTTTGCATTTTTCAAACAGAATGTCTGTACTATGTGTACATTGTACATTGTAATCAAGTGGGATTACTACATTTACTACATTGAAATGATTAAAATGTAGTTTCTGCGTGAGTAATGTTCTTTAGGTTTGGTTTATGGTGGGTCCACCTCATCACCTGAAGGTCACCAGGATGGGAAACATTATGGTGACTTTAATTGGCTTGAAGTGGGTCATTGTTCTTTAACGCTTCAGAATAGGGTTGTGCTTTCTTACTAAATGGGTCCTGGTGTTGTGAATGAACGTGTGAATATTCCAGGTGTGGGCAGGAATATTTTGCCAGGAAGCATCTTTTCTTTGTGAGTGTGAAGGAGATAAGAGTAGGATGGTTGGCGGTTTTGGGGATGGAATTGGAGGAATGGGGATAGAAGATGTATATACTATATAGAGGACACTTTCCTGCTCCGCTCAAAGCAACTGTGAGCTGCAATCAAGACTGAAGAATAAACCAAGGTTTACCACACAGGGTCCTGACTGCAGTCTTAAAATAATATTTTATATTACACATTTCGTGGCACGTCCTTTCAAGGTGGTGTACAAGAAAACAGTCAAAAACAGGAGACGGATAAATTAAAACTAATTTAGAATCCTGAAACCAGATTTAAAAGCTAGATTGTAAAAGTATGTTGTAAGACAGGATTTGAAAGTACTGACTGGCTTCCAAGATCTGATTTGAGCTGCAAGATCACTCCACAGTCTTGGATAAACAAAAGCCTCATATCGGCAATGAAAAAGAGGGCCAGAGTCCAGGAAGTGCAAACAGTGCGTCAGTGTATTGGGAGTTAACAATTCACTGAAGTAGTCAGAACCCAAGCGGTTTAAGCCCTTAAAGGTGAGCAGGAGTCTTTTGAGTGTTATTTTGAAATACACAGGAAGCCAGTGCAAGAAAGCTGAAACAAGTGATATATGTTCACGCACTTGTGCCCTGAACATGCTGCAACTAAGACATGCTACCCTGTGTCTCTAGTGGAAACCATTTCTTCAAAAACATTTAGTAAATGATACTTCATTCTACGGTATTCAATTCTCAATGCTCTGTTTTTTTTGTTGGTGGCGAACGTGCTTTTATGAGTAATCCATGACTCAAGGTCAGATAAACTTTTATCTAAGTTTTAGCTTTTATCAGGAGGGGGTTTAATTTGTTTGCTGCCTCAGTTGATCCCTGCTCATTAAAATTGTGCAAGTCAGGATAGATATTGTACAGTATGTTACTTGATGAATGTAACATTAAAAAAAGAAAAAGTGAACTCAGAGGGCTTCCGTGTAATAATGGAAAGTGATATAACGCAGATACCAATGTATTTATTTCATTAGGATTAGGTGCAATAAATGTTGATATACAGAAAATGTAGGGAATGAAAGACTTATTTAGGAACTGCAAATTTCTGAAACAAGTTTAAGAATGATTTGATCTGTCTCATCGGTTATCAAAAATCCCCATTTTCTTCAGTTGTTTTAAGACCTGTTTTTCCAAACTCCATTTATGTCTAAGTTATGTGCAAGTTTATTTTATTTGAAAATCGTAGTGTTTCATCAATAAAATACAGAGATGTGATTCCAGACAGCATGCACACGTTTGCATTGCAGTATTTTAGCATCCTAAGGAAGTTGTAATCAAGCCAAAAAATGAATCCTAACATGAACGTTATTAACAAAGCCCCTTATAAGGACAACTGATTGTAAGACTGACCTTGTAAGCACATTGAGCCTGATGCACTGACTTCATCAGGAAAATTCCTAGAAACACAGGTGCATGCTTACAAAAGTCTTGAAAGCATAGTGTTCATCTCATAAAACTCTGTGCAAAGCAATATTGATTATTTTAAGAGTTTTCTAATGAAATTTGTCTAAAAGGGAATTACAATTTAAAAGCGTAGATCGTGACATCTAAAAATAGAATCTAGCTTACAAGGAAACAGGCGCTGACTTTGTTCTTTTCATATTTATCTGCCAAATACCTTTTTTTAAACACAGATGAAGTTATAACTGAGTATGAAGATGTATTCTTGTAGTAATTTCTGTCATTTAAAAATGTGTATTGTAAAAAATACTCTGTTCTACTTATTTTAGAGCTCCCCATCAGGAAAATAAGTCATGAGTGATTAACAAATGGAGATTTCCACTGATATTCGAGAAATGGTTGTGTGCATCACAGGGATAAGTCATTACTGTAGGACAGCATAGCTGATTGATATTACATTGGGATCTGATATATACTGTACAGTCTTTATTGTATTACATTGTATTGTATTATTGTATTTAATCTTAAATCCATAAAAGATATCTCCAACAGATGTGTCACAGAAGGCCGTTAGAGTTTGTTTACATCTGTTAATAGATAGATTGAATGTAAAAAGATGTCAAGGTACTTTATCGTGAATACCTGTGCAGTTGAGTTTGTGACCTCCATAGGTTTCATGAACCTACTTTCACAGTCTGGCATTCAAGACTACCTTTATTAAGCACCATATGATCAAGTTTGTCATTCTTAGCTGCCTCTTCATAATTGTTTATTTTTGTGTTGCATTCCACAGAATAGTGAAGCTGATGTGTAGCCGGATGACCTCTTGTCAAATCTGTGCTTATTAACAACAACAATGTTTAATGCTTTGAAGTGCATACACTTACATTTTTTATGTTTGCAGTGTAAACTGTGATCGTCTTACATAAATTCCATATTTTATCAGTGTTTATTTTAACAAAGAAATGTGGGACTGTGTTCACGCTGTTATAAAAGCTAATCAGCAGCAGTGCTAACACATTTTAATACTTTCACCTTAGACGCTGCATCTAGGAGGAAGAGAAATCAGGTCTGTTTGGAAAGCATATCGAACTGCATGTCAGTTCTGAGGTTACCAATAATAATCCATTCCACACAACGTCAAGCGGATTGACTAGAGAAAAGCAGCAGGCATATTATTTAGCTTTAACTTATTTATCTTTCTAAAGCAAAGCATGACTTCACATCTATTGATCTGTTAGTACTTAAACAGCATACACTTCTCCTACATTTTCAGTAGATTATTTTTTATTCTCCTTGGGAAACATGAAGGTAATTTTACCATACCTGTAGTATGGTGCTTTCTTTTTCTTTCAGAGTGGCTTTTATTAAATGACCATAGTCATTGACACTCAGTTGGAATATGAGCCTCAACCCTGTATGACTTTTAGATTTGTTAATTTTTGTTACCACAGGCTGAAATGCAGTATTAGTCAGTGGAAGGAAAAACAAAATGGACTAGTAAGTAAAACGTGCCATTAAAATATTTAATCGTTCAATTTGCTTACTAGTTTATTGTTACTCATAGAGTAATTAAAGATGGGTGTTGAAATCTGATTTGATCCCTTTTAGAAATTTGGTAAGTAAAATTAAAATCCAGAGAGCTCACCTTTCTTTCCATTTTATGTTTTATCTAGCATTATGAATTCACTTTATAGTCCCACTGGTGATGTACTGTACCCTTCCTTACTTGTTGGTCCCTAGTTTTCCTTTCATAGCTTAAAATATGTTGCAGCAATATGTTTTTGTATGTTGTGGCAACACACCTTTTCATTATTGTTAACTATTTTGTTGGAATTTTACGGTAAACATCTGCTCATTTGGGGACGAATTCAAGATGTTCCTTATTTGACCTGTTTAACAAGTTTGTGAGTGGCTCACTGTGGTGAAAGTGCTGTTCTTTGTTTTTTTGTGTCTTATTTCAGCATTCATTTTCTCAATGGAAGACATTTCACTGGTAGAACCGCTCGTTGTTTCTTTAGGAAAAAGTCAGGAAATTATATCAAGAGCAGATGAGGGGAAAACAGATAGAGATATCTCTTTCAAAGGCACATTAAACTTTTTTCCCACGGTTTGCAATACATTAAATATTAATGTACCTATAATTCAAATGTATTCAGCTTTAGGCTCAAGATAATAGACATACAGAAAGCTACTCAGTACCCCTTAAGTGTATTAGTTTGCGTGAGTTAGCAGTTCTTTTTAAATTCAGTTTTGATCTGGCTTGAGAGGAACATGTTAAAGGTTGTGACTGAAGGATCATCGTGATATTTTAGTCTGGACAGGGAAGAGTTTTGATTTTCGTTCTTATTATAGTGAAAGAAGCAGCAGCACAACAACAAAGCCTTCATGCTGGCCCTCTGGGATAGAGAGAACTTATCGATTAGGAGTGATACCAGGAGTTATTTTTTGTAGGAGTAAAATTCTGATGCATTTAAACCACATTAAAGTGTTTGTAAACAGTCTCATGTTTTTGAGTGTTAAACAAGTAGTGAAGATAGGTCGGGTCTGATGCATTTAGCTGTACCCTGTATTGGCCCTAGGGCCTCCATTTTGATGTGTGCTGTGCACTGATCTTCACAAACAGAACCATGCCAGTGTGTTTCCTTTGCTAAAGAACATTTCCATGTGTTTTTTCTGCTTCAGCTGAATGCTGGTATTTGTTTGTTACCTAAGGGTTGGGGTGAGCAGATGGTTTCCATTGCAAGCGGAAGTCATTTCGTCCCTGTGCACCTCCAGCGGCATGTTGGAAATAGCTCTGACCTTCACAGATTCAGTTTTGAAAGAGGTTTCCAGGCACGTGGGAGCATTTATTGACATTCCAGGCTTACAGCCGTGTACAGGGAATTGTGCTCTCTGACCTTTCGGACTCGCCGTCTCTCCTTCCTAGTCACACTTCTTCAGCTTCTCCAAAGTCTCGTAAAGTAACCGCTTTTTCTGCTTGGATCTGGGCTTTCCTGATTAACAATGAAAGCGCTAACCGAGGCAAATCAGCAAAATTGCCACATGTGATTTTGGTTGTATATGCATGGTGGGAAAAAAAACATAATGTCTCCCCTTGATCCGTTTACATTACACGATTACAGATTCAGATTGCTAACACTTTGCTTCAAAACCAGGGCTCATGTACAACAAAAACTGTAATCTTACCACCATTATCGTACTGTGTTGCATGAAGAGAGAAATAATTCACTTTTTTTCAAAGGCACGTGAACCTGGGAATCTGCTGCATTAGCAACTGAAGCTTACAAAGTTTTCTGCATCCCAAGTGACGCAGTAGATTGTCCTCTGAACCACATTTTACAGATAATAGGGAATATGAGAAACATTTGTTGTGAACTCCGTATGGTGCGACAGCTTGAAATATTTAAAAGCGTAACACATTAAAATGAGAGCAAAACTTGTAAGCGTCTCTTAGAACAAGCCTGGCAGTCGCCAAACAAATATCCAGAGCGATCGCAAACACCCAACCACAGCTGAAAAGAGCCAAATTAAGCAGCCAGCAGACAAAAATAGCTCCAGTCTATGAAGACTGACTTGAAGTTAATAGTCTTTTAGGTTTCCTTCAAGCCTAAATCGGCAGTAAATGGAAAATATTAACACAAGTGTTGTGACTGCTTCTCATAAGGTTCTTACAGTCCTTACAGTTTACAGTACATCTTACCCATTGTCTGTCTGATCAGTGATGGAATGGGAAACATTTCTTCCTCTTGGCTTTTATCTATGCTTATTTTCCATTTGTACTGAACACTAGATTTATGTTTCTTAATGTGGATTTTAACACTTTCAGCTAATATTTGTTTGCATGACTCTCTAGATTTGTGCTTATTTCATTAGTTAAAGAGATGGTCCTTTTTTTGTTGTAATGAAAAACATATTCCTACATCAAAATTATTATTTGGATGTGCAGTCTGTCAATATTTAATCATTCATTCATTATAATTATTTTTCTTTAATCGTGCCAAAGGTCTTCTCAGACATATTTGTTTAATACTGTTTATTTCATAATCCAAATAAGAACTTAACTGGCAGCCTTGCTGGTTTTAGATTCACTTTGACTTTGACAGTTACCACCCCTGATCTCAGTAGATTCCTGAAACCAAGCAGGACTGGGCTTCCTTTGGGATGGGAGACCTCCAAGGAAAACCAGGTGTTGGTAGACCAACAGGTGACACAGATCTCTAGACCACACTATTCTCTAAGAGGTGGTGTCTAAAATGGCTAACTTGTGGTCATTACAGATCCTGTGGCATACATAGAGCTGGTATCCTGGCTAAATTCCCCTTTAGGCTTGCACAATCACTAATGTAATCAGAAACTGTGTTGTAAAATTGAAAGAAATTTGAAAAAAAAATTTTTTGGGGGGGATAATTCTCCACAAACAAGGAAAAATTATTCCTGGTATAGCCTCTTCTATAAAAAAAAATCAAAATTGGGGAAAAAAAAGTGATGAACTTTCTGTTGCCTGTTGCAATGGCAATCCTTATTCACAAAATGTAGTCTTCTCTTTTCTGAGCTATTGCAACTCCTTCTATAGGGAGCCAGCCATGAGTATAAACATATTTGCCTCCTCTCTTCTCCTTCCCTCTCCTGACTATAAAATAGGATTTAAACTCCCCACTCCACTTCAAAGGACAATTCTAGTGTGTTCTTACAAAAGGAGCCGAAAACCTTCAGAGACTAAAAGTTTCGTCTCCTTATGACTATGATGATATCACAAAGCACATATACTCGATAGGTTGAAGAGTTTTTTTTTTTAGCATTCGACACTGTAACTTGGCACTAGACCTGATGAACGTCTCGGAAACATGCTACTGTCTTTGTGTTGCTTTCCCCATATGCTGAGATTTCTTTGTGGCGTAATCCTAAAAAAGAAACGCAGTTTGGCATGTGCGCTTTCAAGAAAACCTATCCCTGCCTGACCTCACTGTAAGGTAAATAACACTGTTTTTTAAAGTACGTTATGTGAATTCTCGGGGATGAATGACAATTCATCACAGCTCCCCAAATTCCCCCCTTATGTTACTTACTAAAGTGATTTATTTCACACCTTCATCTGATCTGCTGTGCAATGGGGCTGTTGGCTCATAACCTCTGGAACATGTCAGCTGGGTGGGCGCTGTAAGTCAGTGGTGGATGAAGTCGTCTGCTATGTGTCAATGCTGTATAAAAGCAATTCATTGTTTTTTTTACTCCAGTTTTCATGTGTCTTGTGTTGTTAGTCCATGGAAAGAGACAAGAGGAGTTGTTGGGATTAAGAAAAGCCTTGCATGAATGTGGTTCTGTAGAACATTTTAGTTTGATCAAAATGACAGGTACAAAAAAAACTACCCACAAATGCCCATCCGAGGACATTCGAGATAACAGCTGTGATCATTAGTGTCAAATAGGACAGGCTGCACAACAGCGTCCACTATGATTTCACGTGTCATGTCATTTCACACAATAAAGTGCCATTTTTCTTTTCACTCCCCCCTGTGCATGTAGAGCAGTTCGTCACCCCTGAGAGACGAGAAGAAAACACGGACATTAAAGAAATTGGCTGGTAAACCCCTTTTGATTATGAGCTTCACGGGGGACCTTTATTTCTGCTGCGTAAAAACTACCCAATTTGACGAAGAGAACACTGCCAGGATAATTTAAACTGGCAGCTAAAGCACCCCTTTCCAGGAGAGACGAGATGAGGCTGGCGCGTTGTGTCACGGCAGGTCAAATAATATCTTTCGCATTTCAGACCTCGAGATGGTGCGATAAGCCCTGGGTATTGATTGGAAAAGCACACTCACAAAGGAAGGAAACGCAAACCCTTTCCCCGTAGCATGAAATCCCAGCAGATGTTATCTTGCTGTGGCTCCCAGGCCCCGAGGGAGTATTCAGGAAGCCTCTTCGCTGCAGTCCGTGCAGTTTGCCTTTCGGTCTCGCGTACATGTTGGAAGTCTCCAGACAGGGTCATTCTCGGGCTGGGGCAGCGCGAGAGGCCCTGTGGTCATAGTATAAGGAGACAACACACAGCTCGAGAGGCATGAGCCCAGTTCCCCAAAATAGGATTCGAATTACCATACTTTTACTGTGAATCACTACATTTTCAAGCCCTAAAAATAGCCACTCTTATCGCCAGCTCTGTACAAGAAATACATGAGCATGTTTTTTTTTTCTTGCCTTGTGTGTGCAGCTTGAGTTCTAAAATTGGGTGGTTGGAGGACGTTCGGCAGCAAAGGTCTATTAAAATAGTCTTGTTTCTGTAGTAACTAGTAAATTATTGCCTCTTAAGGCTTGGTGCTAGTTTCAGAGACGCTGATTAGCAGTAATCGTGCCTTGCCTAATGCTACTTTAGGAAAAATTGATTGAGGACTAGGGATAATCAGTTCTTGTGAAATGACACTTTAGTTTTCTTCATCTGTCAAGTGACTCCTACCTCAGATGGCAAGCTAGTACTACAACGCGTTTCACTGAATGACTTACCCTAGCTTCACCTTTTCATCTTCTTTCTGCCACAGGCAGTTCACCTAGTTCTCTGCACTGGTACTGTCGCATTAAAATTCTGCTTCATAATAATTCTAATAATTTACATTATTATCTGTACTTGTACATTAACGTTTATTTACTATTGCGTACCAATTCAATTACAATGCACAATGTAGTAATTTAATTTCCAGGTGGACTATTTATCTGTGCATATGGTCATCACAAAGTGAGCGAAAGGACATTTGTCAAACCATAAATTTAAGAAGTACTGCTGTGCCGTCTTTGAGGAGTTCTTTAAAACTGGAGGAGTAAAAAAAAAAAATGTCCAAGCGATAATGTACTTCCTGCGTTTGGTTGGGAATGAATATGCCATTTTTATCATGTTATTACCCAAGTTCTGTGTATTCGCAACACAATGTTCCCTCTGTCTGCCTTTCATCTCTAAGCACTCACCCGTACTAGAGGAAGTGCAGTCCAAACAGCAGTGACATTAAATACAGTAGCTGTTTGATCTTAATTAATGGAGAGCCTTTCTCAGAAGCAATTTCGCATTTACAGAGCTTGGTATGTCCGCAGCCGAACCAAACCGTAGAAAGCAAATAATGTACGGCACAGAAGTTTGGTGGCTTGCTCAATGCAAAACACTTTTTTGGACTGCTATCCTCCTTGCCAAGTACGATTTTGGAAGTGTGTGTTCGGTTTTGTTTGTAGTATTTCAACATAATTAAAAGAGACATCAAAACACTGAAATAATAACTATACAACATAAACAATAATAGTCAAAAGCACGGTTAGCATTATTTAAATGATGGTGTTACTGACCTTTTCTGTCAGCTGTGACCTATTCAATTAAAAATCTGTGTATTTAATTTTAAAATATATTTAAAATGTGATTTAAACCAGCAATAAATAAGCAATAATCCAATTTCAAAAGATCAGCTGAGTTTAGCAGTGCTTTCATTGACTAACTCAGATTTATTAGGAAAGTTCCTGAGTAAGTTACTTTATTTTTTTAAATAAACTGAACATATTTGTTTGTAAGACAAGGCATCTACTGTACACGTGTGTTTCTGGATTGTTAGGGAACAATTTCCGGAGTTACCACCGGATACTCAGCAGACAGAAATGGTTGTTCTTCCATTATGTCTGTCAGTGCAGCCAAAGCACATTCATGTGATTATTGTAGGCCTTAGCAGGCCGGATGGAAGACCGAAGGCTCAGTCGTGTGGCTGATGTGTCTGCTGAAGCTGGCCAATGTATAGCATTTATTAAATTATCAGCACATTTTTTCTCAAAGAGCAAAGATAGCTTTCTCGTTGAGGATCTACTACGTCTTCTCCTCTGTGTTTGTGGGGAGCAGATAGGTTGCTGTTCTCTGAAACACAGAGCAGGCTGGGGGCTCCATCGTCATAATCAGCGTGATTGTTTGGTGATAACAGAACATTTGTTAGCAGACTAAAGTAGATGCATTCATACTTTCCCCTTTTTATGTTTTACTATTCCTTCCACCCACCAGACAGTGGCTATCTTGGAACAGAGGCTGACATTGACAGAAGACAAACTGAGAGAGTGCATTGACAACCAGCACAAGATCACCCTCCAGCTGAGACGAAGTGACAGCAGATGACCTCTGCAGTGCTGTGGCAGAAGACCTGATCTGTTTTTATTAAATAGTTTAGAATTTCTACTTTTAACATGAGTTTATCTGAGGACCGCTTTTCAGAAAATGATAAATGTGCCTAGCAGTTTTTCCCATGAGTTTGCCTTGCTTACACTATAAAAATGTCTTTGCTTTTGTATGGTTTGTATAGCTCATACTGCTCAATACTTTAATGTTTTCATTGTGTTTCTCTAAACCTTCCTGTACATCTAGCATGAGGTACCAAAGTGAATTAGGGAAGTCTAATCCTGGAATTCTTCCATAAATCCTATAATTTGACAGAAGATTGCTCCTTCAAACAATTTATGTAAAATAAGTTGCCCCATTGAATGGTGCCATCCATCCTGAAATCCCTCAGACCTAGTTCTGTGAACTTGACGGGGCTCAAAACCTGTTTACATAATAGAACAGGCTTTTCATCTCGCATTGCAAGCTACATTACAAGCAACAGAACCCTTTGTCATGTGCTGTCTCTTTAGGGATGAAATTTATTAGGATGGATTAGATAATTTGAGACATAAGCGTCGTTCAATTTCAGAAGTATACTCAAACTGACTTAATTTTAACATGAAGGTCAGTGAATCTCTTCGCAGAGACCTCAATAGATTTTTTTCTGAATTACCGAGATGAGTTGAGTGACCACCTTAAAAGGAAAGAATTTCTTAGCCTGATGAAAGTTAAACAGGACTCCATACATCAGTAAGGGCCCACTGATTAAGATTTCATGAAGTAAAAAGTCTCCCAGGATTTGCTGTGTGATTTCACACTTTTCACACATATACAGTACAATATACTTGAAAGATACATAAAATAATTCAATCTTTGCATAGCAAAAAAACATAAAAACCACAAGTTTGTGACATAAAATTATTGATCAGATTAAATTCCTTTTATAAATTTTATAACCATTTATTATTAACAAGACATTAATAGTGTCAATTGGCTGGTACAGATAGACTTGTTTTAATAATCACATTTACCAAACATGTGATAGTGTTTTATAAATTTATGGGTGTTAATAGGTTGTTAGTTCTGCATTTATGAAGACTCTGCCAGCAACCTTAAATCGAGGTGTTAGCCAGTAATTTTGTATGCCTTATCCTCAAAGAGATTCATGTGCTGAAAGCAATAATAGTTCCGTATATGGATTTCTTTCCACTTTTGCTGTCTTTGCAATCAGTTTTTATTTTTTTATTAATTTAAATGGCGTACAGTGATGTCTGTTAAACTTATTTGTTTGTATTCTGTTTACGTTGATATAAAAACCATGTACTTTGTTCTCTGATCATTAAAGTTACTGATCCTTACTGTAGGAGTGTTTTTTTTGTATTCCTCCAAAAAAGTGTTAACCTTTAAAGCACCTTTCCACTTTAGTTGTCACCTGAGTTGAGCCTTAGTCTTTCTCTTTTTCTTGGCACTGTAATTTAACATCACACCTATTTATACACATTTGGAGAAGTCTAAGGACTTGCAGAAATACATGTTAACACCTGTGTCTTGTTTGTTAATGTTCATTACAAATCAGTTGTATACATAAGGTAGGTTACAATGGAGAAGAGCTTTTGCCTTGCATAGCTCATTTGCTTGTTGGTAGCTTATTGATCAAGGACAGTTGAAGAATGATTCATGGCAGAATGTTTTCACTTTGACATCTTTCTTCATCCCTGACAAGGAAAAACGAAAGCTTATTTGTCTTTTATTTTGTAATGTATTAAAAATCAGACCACTTTTTTTTGGTCCTGTGTAAAACCCTAAGTGAAGCCTTCGGCCAAGTTCTTTTTTTAAGGATAGGGGGGGGAGGAAAGTTTGTTGTCATTAAAGCTGCCAGACGGATGACCTCACTGAAGTTTCAGCAAGAGTCTTTTGTGTTCTGATTGATCCCGGGGGGGGGGAGAGAGAACGTGTGTGCCTGAAAGCTGCAGAAAATGAATTTTTGCCTGAAGAGTCTGTTGAGAAGCATTTAGGGGCTGTGGAAAAAAAACTAAACAGAAATTTTCGAGCAGGGCCCACTCTTTTCCTTCCTGTCTGGGGGCTCGGGCTACACTGGGACACAGTATATACACAGAGCGCACTACCCTTGCACCACCACGCCAGGAGTGAGAGAGTGCGAGTGCGAGGAGAGCACGGCAAAGACTCGTTTTAATCACTATCAGATTCTGGAGGCAAAGCTTTTCTTGTTCACTGCCCTCATTCCCCTTTCTTGGCGCGGCTGTCTGCAGGAGATATCTTTCAGCTTGCACAGCATGTGTGGCCAGGGAGCCTCTGGATCGTAATGTTTCCCAGCTCTTTTGTAGATAACATCTGTGCGCAGTTTTCTTTCCTGCGGTATGGCCTTTGTTTTGGAAGTGAGCACTGTGTCATGGTTAATTCACTCTGCACAATGACGAGCACAAGGCTTTGTTTTATCTGTTTTTCTGGACTCTAATTTGCAGGGATTCCCATTCTCGGAGTGTCTACAAAGGTTTGAACCTAGCAGCAGTGAAATACAGAAGAAAATACCTGAATGACGAGCACGTGTGTTGGGGTTGCAGTACTGTTAAAACAGCCAGAAGTGAATGGCACTTTGACAGGCTGGCTACCATTGTAATAGTCAGTGTCTTCCAGGAGATGTCGCTGTTCTGCAATAGCTGTGCACCACTCCTGTCAGTGAATGGATAATGAACCTGGGCCAGAAATTCCTGCCCTGTGCAAATATAAAGATAAACTAGCTTTGATCCACAACCTATGGAGAAAAGACAATTTTTAAAAGTATAAAATGTATAATTTTGCAGTATAAAATGATAATTTTCCAATTTCGGTGCTCTCTATACTTTTGTGACATGTAATCACAAAAGGTTATCTTCACCACATTCTTCTGCATTACTTGTCCTTGCACAACATCCATCATTATTAGAAAGTCAACAACCCAGAGGTACTGTACCCTGGACAGAAAGCATAAATTACAGAGAACCAGTTAATCTAACAAATACGGCTTTGCAAAGTGGGAGGAAACCAGGGTACTGAGAACAAAAAACAGTACAAACACAGGGAGAAGCAACAAACTCCACACAAAAGGATGGACTCGAACCCAGTACCCAAGAGCTAATCGCCATGCCATTGTGCCATCCTTAAATTTATTTCATTTAAAAGAAGACCAGATCTGAACCAGGCCAAACACTAAAAACACAAAGTAAGTTAACCTTGGGAAAGATTGTGTCTTTAGTGTAATTCGTGATTTTCAATAGTGATGTCTTAAATTCCTAATAGTGAATTATTTTTATAAGGGAACATCTTTTAAGTGATTCCAGAGTTACTTGGGAGCAGTTTGGCTGTGCAGGATATTTAAGCCTTAAGACAAATTACCTTCTAACAAAAACCTCCTCTGACCCTCAGGTGCTTGGCGCGGAACTGGATTGCTTCACTTCCTCTCCCCACTCCCTGAGCGAGTATGGAGTTTTTGTTTGTCTAGGAATCCAGTCATTCCCCACGTGTGTCTTCCATAGAAACCCAGGCCCCTGCTCAAAAATTATGTTTCAAGCGAGCTGAGCTCCATTTCTTGAATTCGTGCACGTGCAGAAAAAAGCTGGCACAAGGTTTTGAATTCATATAAAATAAAGCACCTCTGTCACAGGCCTTCTGTTCTCTGGATATGAAGTCTCTTACTTGAAGGTGTTTTGTTCTTCATGTCTTTCACCTGTTCTGCTATTGCTTTATGCTTTAATTTGCATTTGATCTTTTTCCCATTTCAGTCTTGTGGAGCCGTGAGGCTGTAAGAGCACTGTGAGCCTATTCTCACATGTTACCGACAAAGCTGTTTAAATATCTGAAATATTCTTTCTGAATATGCTGTGGATGGATTAAAGAATATACAGAAGGATAGAGAGATGTATTCAATTGCAAATTATTGTCATAGGTCAAGAAATCATTCGTTTTTTTTAGGAGGAATGAGGTTTTTTAATGGAATCAAGTGAGATCTTGGTTTCATTGTCAAAATCATTGACAAAGAATTGAAAATATGAGGAATACGATAACTGGACGGGGTTCATTCTTCTGTGGGCAGCCTTTAAAACAATAAAAGGTACTGTTGCAGTGATGCATAGGTTAAGTATATATAAACACTTGTGTGTTATACTTGGTTACATTCAGTGACCTACTTTAACAACACCTCTAGGAGGAAAAAGCTTATAAACCAAACATTACAGTTCACAACAAATTAGAGGATTCCTCCCTTACTGTGTGTCATTGTGACTGATGTTTTAAGTAATTGGTCAACCATTTTTTTCCTTGTTTCTTGGATACATGACCTGAAAGGTGTAAAACAAATATTTCAATCGAATAGCAAAGTGGACTCCGCCTAGATGTTTTTTTTTGTATTATTGTACCTTACAATGAAACAGGCTGTAATTAAACCCTGCAGATTAGGTATGAGTCACTTCTAGTTTGAGCTGTTAGAAAAATGTTCCTGGTTCTGTGACAGGTTTGTAATTAAGATAACAGGAGATGAAAAGTTGTCAAAGTTCAGAGGTGACTCAGCCTGGAACACATTTAGGGAAGCATCTTAGAAAATAAGAACGTAAACAGGCCTACGTTCAAAATCTGACCCTTTTATGACCGAGGCTACCAGTTTAAAATTCATGCTTGAAGATTATGCAGGAACATTAAAAATATTCCACTGAGGCTTTGGAAGATTTTTACTGTATCTATTTTCCTTCTTGCTAAGGAGCTTTATTTTTCTTCTGTTTTGTGTTACCATGTGGAAAAACAAAAAAAAAAGGACAGAGGGTACCAACACTGGAAAGGCAGACCCTTGCTTTGGAATCCAAATGGTGAATAAGAGGAATAAATTAAAACTACAGGTTATGGGTTTAACATTTTGTTAAACATCCTAACACTAATGGATAAAAATGTAAAACTTGAGAGGGAAAAAATGAAGCTGCTCACTTCATACGAGTATTCATTCCATTGTAGCCAACTAATTTATCTTTAAATTGCAAAATCACATAAAACTTGATTTGGTAATTTTGTCCTTATACATTTTTATGAGTACTGAAACTGCCTGTGCTTAGTATTGTAACGCTCCAGGGTTCACGTGGGTATGCGCCTTTGCAGCTGCCGCCTCAGGTCGGCCCCTCACCATCGGGGGCTCGAACCCGGGCCTCCGGCGTCACTCAACAGGGGCCCAGCCAGCTGAGCTAAAGGGAGATCTCCCGTCAGCCTGACGGCTGTGGCCCCTGCTATTCACAGGGAAGGGCGGTGACGTCACCGCGCTGGTAAGCCGACTCGCACAACCTGCAGTGGTGGCCGAATGCGTTACAGTATCATGCAGTGTTCTTTGGTCCCACTCTCTGTGTGTGGTGGGAGGGCTTCGCCCCTGACGTCCTGCCTAATACCTTAAATGTTGCGGGGACAGAAGGTCAGTTTTAATCTCTGTTCTGAAGATACTCCTTGTAATCCCATTATTATTCTGGTTTCTTAGACCTGGAGTCATTTTAGTGACACAATGTTCTTTCTTGTGAAGTGACAACCAAAAGTAGACTAAGTGTTCAAAGCAGAGATTCATCAGAGCATTATAAACCTGTGCGCAGGGATCACATCTCTTGTCTCGAAGCTTGTAGAGGTGCATTACAGTGGCAATTTAGGCCACGCTATTGCTGTTTTTTTTTAATAGCTCCCTGTTCTTTAATGATCGTGATAAATTAAGTGCTGGTAAAAGGCTTCTCTCTCTCTCTCTCTCTCTCTCTGCCTTGCACGCCTCTTCACTAAGAACATGACTCACTGTAGGGTCTTTTTACAAAGCTCTTTAACCAGCCTTCATATGTGAGTCTTGAAGTTCAGGTGGCCATCATCCATTGGGAAGAGAGTCCCTGCACGGCTCCTCATTTCTATCCTGTGAGCGCCCCTTTCTGCTGCCCCTTTCCTGGGGAATAAACTGTTTTGTTAAATAATGCACCATTAACTGATTCCGTTTTTCCTTGTTCTTGCAATCTCTGTGGACCAAATTAGCATTTTTTCCACAGTGCTTTTCTGCATTATCTTTGCATTGGAGGAAGTGCACCTCAACAATATAAATTATTGAAATGTTATTGACGTCCATTTAAAAAAAAAGGATAAAATGTCGTTGCCCTGAATATTTCAGTTTCACTTCACCGCTTGTGTTTGACTACAAACAATGGCAGCCTCTTAAAGGCTCAAAAACAAAATACATTTTAGTGTTTGGTGTCTTAAGTATGGGAATACACGAAATACCTTCCATCCATCCGTCTTCTAGCTGCTCACCCCTGGTGATGGTCATGGTGGTAACTGGCTGAGCAGGGCAGCCCAGACTTAACAAGAGCTGTCTCCAGCTCCTTCTGGCGGATTCCTTTGTGCTCCCAGGCCACCTGAGAGATACAATCCATCCGGTGTGTCTTGGGTCTGCCCGGGGGTCTCTTCCTAGTTGGTCGTACCTGGTACACCTCCAACAGGAGGCGCCCTAGAAGCATCCTCGCCACATGCCTGAATCTCCTCCACCTGCTCCTCTCGATCC